ATTAAACGACCGCCTGAGGTCTCGAGAAGATGCTGCGAGGACCCAGTGCGAAATATCCTTGCGTTCGAATTAAACGAATTAAGCTTCTGCATGTGCGAGAAACTCGTAAGGACGACGGACTTCAACCGGACGGAGAGTACCGGACGAGAATTCACATGGTTTTAGCCCAAGGCGTCTCGCTACCTTCTGAATCGTCTTTAATTAATAGTTATTAAGAGACGAGCACACCGGGAGAATATTACCTTGTCGCAAGGCACGACGTACCAATTGTCCAGCCACGATAGACACCGAATTGAAAATGCACCACGGAGAGTGGAACGAGAGAATTTTTTTCCCGCGCTTTTCAACTCGGGGAATGATGAGATGGGAAATATCCCGTTATTGGATTTACGAGAGGCAAGAAACTTGTAAAGCTCAATATTTCAAAGCTTCAGATTTTATTTCCACGATCCAATAATGCGGTCGAACAAAACGTCAATTCGAAACGAGACGGGAAATGTCGTAAGGATGTCAGAGAGTGTCGAAAGAGCGTCAACTGGGCGTTATAACGTTGAAAGAGTTGTGGATATTGTAATAATATGAAACTGAGCTCATATAGATGGACCGTTACGACTATTCGTTCGCGATCCTCCAGCACACTCGAAGACTGTCAAAACAAATATCGTTTTCGAGATGACGTTACTCTCGTGCGACGGAATGTGAGTTTAATATTATTTTTTGACAGCTTTCAAATGCGTAAAAAGTTATAAACGCAACGAAGGATGCAGGTGTACGAAAAATTTATCGCTTGCAATAAATGTATCTAAAAGTGCGCTATATCGAGAAATATAACGATAAAAATGTTTCAATCAAAATTTCGTAAAGTTACGGAGAGTTGCATTCGAGATACGTTGTCGCAGAGGAAGTTCCGCTGGTGAATTAAATGAATGCATGGAGCACTCTTTTCGTCGTGCTATTTCTTCGTATTGGCTAAGTTTATCTTTCCTTTCAAAGAGAATCTTGCATAAGAAAGTAAACACAGTGATTCGATAAACTCGCGGGGTAGGCCGCTGTTCAAGACCCTGTTCCTTATTTAGAATTTGCGCGATCGAAGTCGAGACTATACAAAGAGTAGGTATAAGCGGTTGCATACATTTCTAATTTATCGCGTTGTTCCATATCGAGATGATACGAACGACGGAGAAGGATAAATTGGCAATAATTCTATTTTATTGAATACGAAAATACGATTCTGTAGAAGCTAATTCAACATTCTTCACTTAAAATGCGAGAAAGAGATTGTAATATATTTCTTGGGTTTTTTTATTTAGTAATTATTTCAAACATTTATAATACATCGGTTTCAATATTGGCATTTTCTAATCCGTAAACTGACTAATCGTGTTAGTTCTATTTCATAATAGAATTTCTTTTTGTTTTTTATTTTGTGAAAATTTTCAATGTGCAGAGAAATATTGTTCAAAAACTTACTACATTAAGATACTCTTTTATCTAAAAAAGTATTAATCTAGAAAAGTATGTTTACGAAGATACACAATATTTCTAGTTGATTTCATAAACAAACAGTAAAAAATAAATAAATTTCTTGGAAACTTTAATATTTAACATTTTATCTTCATTTTGAATTTTTTTTCAAGATAGTATTAAACGTTCGTTAAAATATGAATATGATAATGATTTTAACAATATTATACAAAAGACACTATAAAAACGATTTCAATGGAAAGAAATATCTTTCAATATATTATATATCTAAAACTCGTTTCTTTATTTTCACATAATAACGATATGATTATTATAGAGAAACATGCCTCTTTTAAAAGAAATTTATTTACTCTTCTTCCGGGAGTAAGAAGATTACGTTATTACAAAATTAGGTTGTTTTCATTTTACTAAAAATTATTATCGTTGGTATAATTTTTAAGAAAAAAATCTTCTAAATTTGTAATTTCTTGTCACAGATGTGATGACCTTTTCTGCATATATCCGCAGATATAGCTATGAGACTTACAATTTTAAAGTCGGTTCTAATTTCTGAAAGACCTGTTAGAAGAGGTTCTCGTAGCAAAGATACTTTTGGTAATTGCTTTTCAAGAAACGATCAAATAAAATTTAATATTAATATACGTTTTGGGTGGATGTTTGAACCTGAATCATGGAGAGTAGACGATCTTTACGTTATAATCATTATAAAAATTATGTACAATGATGGTATCTACTGTTTAATAATTTATTCACTTATATATTTAATTTTTATATTAATTTCCTCTGCATTCGCATATTTATTCCCTCTGTTCAGTTTAAATTATTTTACTGTTTTAGGTTTTCAAAAAATGTATAAAAATTCAGCGTTATTTTTCAATATTTCTATTACCAAATAGCTTTTTAACGAGATATTTTAGGAGAAGAAATCCTCCTTCCTCTATTTCGAAGAAATGAGAATTAAACTTTTTTATTAATTAATAACAAATCACCTAGAAATATTATATATCAGGAGTTGTAAATAGTTCATATTCACAGTCTCTGTAATATATATTTATAAGTGATTTGTTATTAATAAAAATGAAGTACAGTGATGATGTGCATGATTTAATAAATAAAAATACTATATTTAATATTATTTAATAAAAAATTATTAAATATGTTTAATAAACATTTTGGTTACATATATTTAATATACATTTAATGAAATTATTAAATATGATATATATTCTGGGTGGATTTAAAATCGAATCTTTGGCACAGAGAACAGGCGCTCAATTTTGTACAGTTTACATTATAATCAACACACAAATGATATAAAATATTTTAATAATATGCAAGCTTATTTATAAAAAGCATCCGTAATTCATTTGCAAATAATAAAAATCCTTTACAATAATATACGATTCGATATCCAAAAACAAGTCTACAAAAATGTACGAACGGTATACAAACACACGATAAAAAAACATATGTATATCTGAGAATTAACAATGAAGATAGGTAAACCGGGTAAACGTACCACATTCGTGGAACTATCTGAACATCAACGGGTGGCTGGAATAAAAAACAATCTCTCGATGTTAAAGCCGTTTACGTGCGTACGAAAGTGGAGTCCTCCGGTGTGTAATCCGAGTGGATAATGGACATGAACGGAGATAAAGGTGGGAGGAGGCACTATGAAAGAGACGCACTTTACTATTTCCCTCTCTCTCTCTTTGTTTTTCTCCTTCTTCTTCTATTTCGTCGAATCTCGCGTTCGCTTAGTGCTGACAAACAAAGGTGACGAAAGGCTCCATCATCGCGGAATGAAACGCGGGAGGGCGAATCATTATGAATGGAAGTGTTTCGTAGATTTCGTAATAGTCATTGTTACGTACGTCCTGCAAATTCAAGAGTGTAAGTAAGGCTATTACATTCGTTGCACGACAAATTTTTCAAGCCTGTTAATTAACTATGGGATAGAGAGACCTGAAAACTTCTCTGTCTCGCAGCTAATTAACATGCTTGAAAAATTTGTCGTACGATAAAGAAGTTCTCGAGTTTCTGGAAACTTTCTCTATCTTGTAGCCAATCAATACGTTTGAAAAATTTGTCATACGACAAATGAAATATTAGATTAATAAAGTAGCTTCATATATGTGTGTGTATGTGTGTGATTCAGTTTTCCATGTAAAAATAATACACTACATTATATACAAAAATAGATTTACATGTTTATATTACATGTTACCATAATGTTATTTTTATATGCTTTGAGTTAAATAACATATTTTTAACTCCATCTGATATCAAAATGTAATATGTAAATCAATTTATTTCTGTGACTGAATTACCTTTAAAGTAAATAATATTCATATTAACATACGAACTTAGTAAATAATAAACTAAATTTTGATCAAATTTAATGCATTTCTTGAGTTAAATTGTTTTTATTTTAGTTAAATTAACGATGCACATATTAAATGAATAGTGACGATTTATAGAAATGATTATAAATAATTGAAATTGGGTGCAATTTAAATTTAATTTCTAAATTCAACAATTTAAGAATGTTTTGTACAAATTTTCAAAATGATACCAAAATTATGAAAAAATTACAGATTATTTTAAGTCACATTTATATAAAAATAATTTAGTGATAGTTTACTATCTGGATCATATTATTTCAATAAATGGTACTAAATTTTAATTTGTGCTCTAATAAAAATATATAGAAAAGTATTATAAAATAAATGATAAAAATCTCAATTGTTTAAATACAAGTACATTATATATTCAAGATTATTTACGTAGAGTTATATGGCATAGAGTTATATTGTATGAACTAGGTTTGTCCAGTAAATAAATAAACAAAATATTTATTTATTCTACATTTTAATTTTCTACTTTTTAATTAATCAGTGAATCACAATGAAACTTTGCATAAATTATTTTGGATATTTAAAGTTAATTATAAAAGGGACATGTAAATTTTGTTATCATTAAAAAAATTTTAATTCTTAATAATAAAAATAACAAATAAAATTAATAAACAGCAATACAAAAAAGTGTTATTAAACAAAAATATATTCTTATTCACACAACTTTCATATGTATAGATTTTATATAAAGTATTAAATATATTAAACATACTTTCAAATTTAACTTTCTTTGCAAGGACTGTAGACGTCTAATACATCCTTAAAGCATTCATAATAATTTCTACATCCCTAATTACTTTATCTCTCTAATATTTAATATCTGTTCCTGTTGCCATAATATTTCTTCCATTGTGGGCAGGGTAAATCACACACGTATATGAAAGCACTTATTACACACTTGGATTTGCAATGCGTATCGCATACGTGCACGTTTGGCGGGCCGTTAGAGCGAAGTGGTTGCGCGGCGGCGAGGCGAGACGCGACGCGGCGCGGCGCGCGACGAGCCGAGCCGAAGATGACCGAGCGATGCCGAAGCGACGAACCCTCTGTCCTCGCGTCGTAGTGTCGCCCCACCACATCCAGTCGTACCGCGAATGTTACACTGTGCGCTTCGTATACGCGCTTCCCCGTGCTTTTCTCCCTCGATAACGGCGACGTGCTGCGAGGTACGAGAACGCGAAAAGCGAGCGTTTCCTTTCGCTTCACGCGCGACGTTCGCCGACATATCGTCCTGTCTCTCCTTGCTATCTCTTTTTCGTCTTTTTATCACTGCCGTAAATCTTGTTCTTTCGTTGACCAGCGGCGACGATCACCGCGAAGTTTGCCGCCGTCGGCAGACGGTGCGTTCGTTTCTCTCGTCCGTTTCGACCGTCCCGTTTGCGTCGGCGAAGGAAAGAGGAAGGCGACAGGAAGTCGTAAGGGTTAGAGGGAGAATAACGGAGCAGCAGCACACACGAGACGACGATCGACGCCGTCGCCGCCCTCGCCGCCCTCGCTGTTATCGTCCGATGTGTGAAAAGTGCACGAGTCCGCGAGAACGCGACGCCGACGATAGTATCGATAGCGTAACGTGCTGAACGTTGCCTTACAAGAAACGCGCGGCAGTTTCATACCGAACGGGGAACGCGCGCTCGCGCGTGTCCCGATCGTCGTCGTTCGCACATAACGTTCGCGTTACAATTAAGATCGCGGCATCGAAATCGGAAGTAATCGCGCACGCGGAGTGGTGAGAGTCGATCGCAGAAATCAAGCGTGGAAATTAAACGTCATTGAAGCGAGATCGAGCGGGCGATAACGGGGCGTGCGATCGGAGCGGCGAAGATGTATTTCAGATGGACGATGACGCCGCGACGTCTGTATTGTCTGTAACAGTCGCCGCCGTCGGTTGGGTAAGAACGTCGCCGTATTTACTATTTAGTCGTCCCTCCACGCGAAAGTCCGCCGCCGCGATCCGCGCGCGACGGTGTATCGACGTGAATCGCGCGGGTTATGACGCGCCGCGCCGCTTAGGGACGCTCGACAAGCGCTCGTAACCGGAGCCCCGGATAGCCGCGAGTGCGTGCGTGCGTGCGTGCGTGCGTGCGCGACAACGACAGCGACAGCGATGGAGAACGACCCGGCGGCCAAGTCCTGGCCGTCGGGCCCGGGGACGGGCAAGGGATCATCGCCGTCCTGCCTGGAGGCGTCGATGCCGCGGAAGTTCCGCGACGGGGACCTCCGTGCGGGGACCGCGGGCCTCAATTGGGCGCTGTGCGCCCTCTGCCTCGCCAGCTTCGCCGTGTCCGGCGTGCTCTTCTACCGCGAGCTCGGCTTGGAGTCCAGGATCGCGAGTCTGGAAGCACAGCTTGGAGTCCAGGATCCCTCGTCGCCGGTGGAAGCCCTGGTGCAGAGGCTCAAGGCGGAGATGCAGGAGCAACTGCGGCAGACGCAACGGCTCGATTCCTCAGCGGTCTTCAGGCCCAAACGCGACATCTCCGAGTGTAATTGTCCTCCAGGTAAATCAATCTTGTTTGAAAAACAAAATTGCTCGTCTCTTCTTCGTAAATTGGCGTTTTACTGACTGCGCGGCTTTAATGTATTTTATTACAACGTTTGCATCTCATGAAATAATAATGTTTAATTGTTGATGATAATTGGCGTAATTATGGATGTTTTTACGTCGAATTTCAACATTATGAATTGTTGCAGCATTGTGTGTTAATCACTCCGGGAAAAGGCATAGTGATAGTAAAAAACATAGGGTAAGGTGGTGCAATTTCGAATATTGTGCAATTCTGAACGAAATAAGATTTAAATCCAATTTTTCGAAGTTTAAAATTGGTTTTTTTTTTGTTTGGTGGAGAATTTCCTTTAAAATATTCTTCACATAATGGAAATCAAGATTACCAATCTTGAACCTTGAAATTTGGATTCAAATATTTTATTCAGAATTGTATCACGTTCAAAATTATTATTACCATGTTACCCTAAAAATGACAACTGTCTAAGTTTTATATGTAAAATTAATATACACACACACACACACACACACACACATAGTTGAATACTCTCTGCATTCCAAACTGCATTCAAAAATAGTTTATTCAACTATATATTGTATATTAATTCTCATAATATACATGATTGGATCATTTGTATCTTGTGCATTTCTTTTCTTTGAAATACTGGGTGCATCAAGTAATTACTTGTAACATATTTTTTTAATACACATTTTTTTAATACCTTACAAATACTTTTTAAAGATGTTCAAATATTTATAAAAAATAATTATAAATAAATATAAATTAATTTATAAGTAATTACAATTATTTACAATTAATTTTTCAGTGATTTATAAAATATTTTGAAGATGTTAAAATACACATGTAAGAATCACTTAATAATTTTTGTATGTTTGTGAAAGTGATAAAAATCAATGTGTGTATTAAGTTGTCACATTTACAGCTATCACTGTTTTTTTCTATAAGTGAATAACTACATAATTAGCATAATTACAGATACTTTTATAATAATATTGTTTCACAGTACTACGTAATATAACATAAAAATCATTATGATAATATATATTAACATACGAGGATATGAGAAATGGATAAACTTAACATTTTACACACATCTTTGTAGATTTATTTTATTTCTTAAAAATTACAAATCATATTTCTTTCAATTGCCACAATGTGAATTACATATTGTAAATATGTAACTTCAAAATTATAGGCTATTTTCTAATAAAATTAATTAACAGCGTCTAAAATTTCACGTATTATTCGATCAAAAATGATTGAAAGATAATTAATTTTAACATACGTATTTACTAGAAATGTAGAATTTTTAAATAGTGCTTTTTTTCACGAAAATGAATATCCGATATGCCGAGCGATATGCGATCCAAATATCGAAATATCGCAGTAAATTATCATAATTTCTTTATTCAATGACACACGAAAAATTTAATATTACGCGAATTGACATCTCAGTAAAGTGCTAATCGAAGGATTTACAGCAACTCCTAATTGTGGAAGTAATCCACAAAACAAACTCCGTATTTGTTTCCGACGAATCCAATTATGTCGGAAAGAATTCTTGTTTCCAACGTATCGCAGATCTTACAAATGTTTGTGTAAAGAAAGTGGAGTGAAGAATTTTTGCAATCATTATAAATCGGTTTTCTAGCAAATCCTTTAAAAAAGGTACCTTGTGTAAGCTCTCGGTTTATTGAAGCGAGCGAAGAAAAGTGTAATCAGGACTTGTAAATGTTACGCTTTCTTCAGTCACACGATGCTATATATATATCCGATCTCTTCATTATACTAACAAAAATACAACCGAACTTTTGTACGGTTAACGAATTAAGATTTACGAGACTCTTTAGATTAGGTACGCTTGCATTTTCTTATCTTTTTTGATTTTAACGAGAAAAAAGTTTTAAAGAGTCAGGAAATTACATATTGCGTATTCTAAATCAAGTTGGAATACAGAAAGGGTACTTTATTATCAAATTGTGCTGCGAACGTTGAAATTAGTTGACTGTAAAAAAAAATACTCCAATCTCTTGATATTGTATATCGTGCATTTACATTTTTATTACTACGGTAGACTCGTAATTCCATTTTGCCCACTCGACGTCGCGTCTGATATCGTTTTGCGAAAAGCGCGTTGCGCTGCTTTTCTATCGTGTCTTCTGTTTGAAACTCTATTCTAACCAAACGATTCTCTCTACAAACACTCGCTTTACGCTCCACGGCTTGCTTGCCGCGACTTCACTCCCGACTCTTATTCATGACAGAACAAAGTAGCAAAAGAGCAAAACGCAAAAACCGCAACGTTGGAAGAAACCGCGAACGGAGTCACCTCGCGACCTACGAAACGTGCGAACGTAATAATAAAAATGAGGAAGAAAATTCACAAGAAAAATCACGGTGGTTTCTGTCGTTTCTGGATCTCATCTTATATAGCATAGATCTTCAAGAGATTGTTCTAAGAAAGTTCAGATGTTGTACGTTCTCAGAACGTTTCTACACTATAGAAAAGAATAGTTGCAAATTGGATTAATTGCAATTTTGCTTGAAAATAGACAAATCAGAATTTTCTAGGTGAGTCTATTATAATTCTAATTGAGATAACCAGAATTCTGATTGATATGATTAGACTGTTCTGGTTCGTTTATTTTCAACCAGAAGAGAGGATACTTTCGCCTTTTCGCGATCATTCTAGTATCATTTTATTTCTACATTTTCTTATGCGTTTTCTTTATGAAATCGGAAATTATAATAATGGCACTTGAGAAAAAATTGGTACATTGAAATAGAGAATAAAATCCTTTTATTCACATCGTTACGAAAATCGCTGTCGGTTATGTGCTTCAATCATTTAAAAACTAATTCAGAGTTGGATTAACAATTGAATGATTGAAGCATAACTGACATAGGTTAGATATTAAAGAAACAATGGTAATCGATATTAAACGAACAATGGTAATCTAATCCGATGAATTAAATAATATTCTGTTTCTAACTTTTATATATCTATGTCAAAATAGAAATTATTTCTGTGGTTATAGTTTCAAAGTATTGTAGATATGGTCCATATTATGCACTTAGTAATTTAATATATTTTTTTTTCAGTTAAATTATTTTCCATTGTTTTAGTTAAATTAACGACATATTAGGTACATAGGAGTAATATAGTTTCGATATATCTGTAGATATTAAAAATAATTCAAATTGATTATAATTTGATATTATAAATTTAACAGTAATTGGCAGTAATTTTGTAATAAGGATTTTTATAACTTTATTTCAATATACCAATTTTTCCTTAGCTTGAATGTAGCATCGTTATAATGATGATGAATTTTTGGATTCCACAAAGAAAGACACATAAGAGAACGAAACGAAACGAATGGTCGCAAAAAAGTTGCCCTCCCTTCTTTTCTCAGAGCAGGACATCCCTAAAATTTGCTGTCCGGGATACGACGATTTCGGATTAAGTATCTGCGTCATTCCAGTCGAATGTCGAACAAATGTCGTCGTGCACTTTGAAAAGAGTACGAAGGCGCTCCTTCTCGCGTTCTTGTCTCATTCGTCGACATTCCATCTGCGTGAGCCAAATGATCGTGACTGCACATGATCGCCGATCGTCGTCAATCGGCCAATAAATAGAAGAAAGGAAGGAAGAAAGAGACTGTCCGCATGTTGACTCGATGAAATCGAAGCTTTGTGCACGAGGCTCCTTCCTGTCATTAAGACAGATGCGCGATTGCTTCATTGCACCTTTCATCAAGTCGCACTCGCACGCAGGCTCCGGCAGTAACTGTTGCGATAATCGTGCTATGTACCCGTGTCATGATAACTCCACATATGCATCATCGGTTAAACATGAGGTATCGACGGTACCGTTAGGGAGGGGCGATGTAAAAAAAGTACTGCAAATATCTACGTATTTATTTATTTATTTTGTTTTATATTCGCCGACTATTTATTTCATTATACAATAAATACTTGCGTTTCAGAGTAATCTGCGTGTTTATATTATATATGCCGTTACGGCCGTTACGGGTATTTGATGGTAACGAATTAATGCATGTGTGTGTGTGTATATGTGTGTGTGTGTGTGTGTGTGTGTGTATAAATATTGATATAAAGATATTTCACATATAAAAATATTTTTATATTACGTAGAACAGAGCAGATTTTTATCAATATTGCTGTATGATTTTCACGAGATCGCGAAATACCGTAAACTGGTAAACGGTATATATTGTGAAATTTTACGCAGAGAAGAAAACCTCCTTCTCTCATTTGAGCAGCTGCTTTACAACGAGAAAGCAGCTTCTAGAAACGAGGGAAATCCTTGTGTTTTAGAACCGAAACTTGCAACCGCCGTGAAACCATCGAATTCGCGGGAAGGCGAATTTACGACCAATAAATGCAACTTCAGCCCTTTGCGGCTTGCGGCAAGTTTATGTAGAGCAAATGATGTAGCTACGAGCATCATTAAGAGTCATTTTACGATAGCGATGCAATTTATTCTCTCCCTCTCTTCCCCCCCCCCCTCTCTCTCTCTCTCTCCGAAATTGTCGATTTTCAAAGCGTACAAACTGCAAGAGTATCGACCACCTTTTCCTTCCCCGGTCCTTTTGCACAACCGCGCACGAAAAAGCATCCACGGAGTAGGTAGCTCGCTAATTGCAATAATTACTCCATTGTCGGACGCCGCTCTCCGAGTCCGAGGTAGGAACTATTTTCCGGCGAAGTACGGCTGGGACGGAAACGGAAGCGCGTATATACGGCGAGAGGGAGGAGAAGTAGAACTACCGGCCGGATTAATTCCGCGCTCCGTTTCTGCTCGCAGTCCACTCGCCGCTATCTCGTGTCTGACTCTTCTCTCCTTTATTTTCCTTCTTTTTTTTTTCTTGTTCCGTCGGTAGCCGTACCTTTCCCTTATCGCGCGTCCACGGCACGACGAGCAACAAAAGGGAAAGAGAGAGCGAGAG